AAGCAGCTTCCTCTGACTTCATGGCTGAATATCCAGCCCCGCCCACACCTGCGCCCTGTTCATCACTGCTGGGCAGCCCAGTGGGCACGTAGGTGGGCGGCAGGGTGTAGTACTGCGAGAACTGACTCTGACTCAGAGAGTTGAAGTTACTGAACTCCTGCAAACATACACGATGGAATGACTGACTAAAGTCGAGCTCTGTTTGTCCTCACAGTAACACTGCAGGTCCTTGACTCCGTACCTGTGGGCTCACCGTGGTGGAGGCGGTGGTGGTGGCTGTGGCCGGGGGGATGTTGGAGTACACACTTGAAGTTGTGAAACTCGAGCCTGCAGACAGAAAGATCTCATTGTAGGACAGCGCCACGGGGAGGTGAAACAAGAGAAGAACAACGGCAGGAGAGCAGTTAAAGCTGCGGAGCTGCTGTAGTCAGTGCAGCCAGTGTTTGTCAGCGTTACGTCTGGAGGCAGAGTGCCGCTGCAGCTTGCCTTGGCTGGGGTATGAGTAGTGCAGTTGGCCCTGCTGGCTTGAGGTATATGCCGTGCTGAAGCTGAGAAACCCAGGCTGGCCACCAGAGGGCGCCTCAGGCAGCCCTGTCTCTGTTTTAATGCCTGGCCACATAGCACCTGAAGATGAACACAGAGAGAGAGAGCAATAGAAGCAGAGAATGGTTTAAGTGGCAGCAGGAAAAGTGGCAAAGCCTCAAGGTGGAGCTGTTGAGTCACTGGCAGATTTAAGCAGCGATTAAAAGGAGATCAGCTTCAGCGCACGGTGAGGCCTTCAAAGCACCTGAACTAGGTGTGACTGGTTTTAGTGAGCAGAGAGAAAGGTGAAAGGTCATCGGGGGGAGAGAGTGGACTAACCAAAAGGTGGGAGGCCGTAGGTCTGGCCGGTCTGAGGGAAGGCCGAGTACACGTTGGACTGGGCCAGAGAAGGAAAGGCCACGTGACTGGTGTAGGAGGTCACTGACGTCGGGCTGGGACAGAAGAAGAAGACGGAGAGTCAAACACACGTCTCTGAACTTCACTGGAGTCTCTGTCTTTTCCACAGTTGTTTAAACTCGTGGTTAAACTACAGACATTTCATCCAGTGCTCAAAGTATCAAACTGAGGTGAATTGCTGGTTCAAATCCCGGCCCAGAGGGATTAGATTAGAAACATATTTAGCCTGTGTTTTCAGTGAGTGAAGCCGTGGTAGGACTTCTGTCTCCTCCTGTCTCCTCCTGTCCCCTAAAGGTTCAGGGTTAGGTACCAACCTGGGCCCCAAACCCCAGGTTGGGTTACTGTACTCACTTGTTTCCCTGATAGACCTGCTGTGTGAACTCCGAGGTGGTTGTCGAGTCTGTGGGTGGGAACAGACACGCTACAGCGTCAGACCAAGTGATATGAAGACAGGAAGTGTGTGTGTGCGTGTGTGTGTGTGTACCTGAATGTTCATAGGGGTTCAACGAGTCTCCACATTCCTGAGACGCCGTTCCATGTTCGATATCCGACTGCTCCTGATCACCTGAGGACGAAACCAAACAAAGTAGTAACCATCACCCGCTGCGTCCGTCGGTGTGTGTGTGTGTGTGTGTGTTGTTTATTTCACCTTCATCTGAATCCAGCTGGGCAGTGGACAGGGCAGAGTATGAAGGATCTGGACTTTCATCACCAGACAGGTTACTAGAGAAAAAAAAAACGACACATTATTTCTGCTGCTGCCGTCAGTGAAAAACCAAAGAGGTTCAATTTGGACGAGTCATTACAGACCGAGCGCTGTGGAGAATATATTCAGTAGAACATTCAAGAGTCAGCATTTACTGTGAGGCCACATCAATCAGAGGATGTGGAGAAAAAAAGAAAATGAAGCCACCGACCTGGGCTCTTTCTCCAGTCCGGCTTCGATCTCCAGCTTCACTTTCTTTGCCTGGACGACAGACAGAAAACAACCGCTCACTCAGACTCTGATACAGAACAGGATAAAGTCCACAAGTTTTGTAACGGTGTTAGGTTGGCGACCGCTGATCTACATGATCATGTGACCTCCTGACGTCTGAACGTCAACACATTTCTGCTGTGGACTCACCGGTAGCTCCTGCGAGTCATCCATCTCTGCAGCAGAGCGACCCGACATGTCTGCACGCTCAGCCCGCTCTCTCTACCTGGACGACCCGCCTGGACCCTACTTCACAAAACCACAGCAGGAAAAGACCAAACCGTTATAGGCTGAATGTCCCCAATGTCTGCTGCGCTTTATGTAGACGTCTGATGCCCCTCCCACTTCCTGTGTCCCACATAGGACGGTCCGAGCGCAACGCACACATTATCAACGTGTAGGGTTTGTGCACAATTAGTCCCAGTTACATGATGGAAATGGGGCAGTGGGGGTGTGTGTGTGGGGGGGTCATTCCTCTGCAGAGGAGACCTATGGGCGCCTCTGCAGGTGAGTGTGTTTACTGCAGGATTAGGGAGAGATGATGAGATGAATGAAGTGGATTTTGCGGCAGCATTAGTTGACACCTAACCTTCTTTTGTCTGCTGGCTCGTCTGACACACATTGGACTTCCTGACATAATGTAGACACACAGTAAAAGAGAAAGTGGGTCAGATGAGGCACGTTCAGGATGGGACACGTGCCAGACAACTGAAACCCGTGTCATTTTATGTAAGGTTTATATAAAAGAGGTGACAAACAGACCAACTACACATGTCGTACTAATGGCAGACGACGGGGACAATACATTTACAACATCATAAATCAAATTTATGAAAAGTTGGTCACTTAATACATACCACTAATAACAGTAATAATATTATTACAACGTTATGTGAATATCACTTTCTTAATGTAACTCCTATGTCACTTTGTAACATGATTGAGAACTGGATACAGTCAACGTTTCTCTGCACGTTGTAATTAATCGATTATGACAACAGTCCCGCTTCAAGAGAAGTTTCGCAGATCGATCGCAATCGATTAATTGATCAAACTCTGAACAGACACAGGTCTTAGTATTTTCTTGACTCGGTATGATTCAGTGACTGGTTATTTACTGGAAAATTGCTGCTTGGCAGTGATCGATCTTTATCGTGATATTATTAAAAGCGTCAGTTCGGTTTGTCCTCCAGGAAATAACATCGGTGACAACAGTTTACTGTGAAAGACTGGACATTAGAACCGAACTGTTATTGAGCATACGTTAACATGAAATGGTTCAGTAGTTACACTGTGGTAATAAGCCCGCAATGGAGTCGTAATTATCAACACTAGGACTTAGACGCCACCAAGAAAGCCTTTAAATTGCAACGTTAGCTTCTAAATGTTTACTTTCAGACTGAAGCGGAGCAGAGGAGAGCAGATTTATCCAAATTTCTCGATCACATTTGTGCGTTTGCCTAAAGTCAGAAAATACGACTCGATCGTCAGCACAAGTCAGTTCGTCCCGGTCACGAAAGTTTTCCGCTCCAGAGATTAGTCGGGCCCTGCAGCCATTGGCTGGAGTGGAAACAGAAATGGCAGCGTGTGAAGAGCATCTCACACTGCAGCAGCGGCTAACGTTAGCACGGGCTCACGGCGGCACGAAGACACCAGAGACCCATAAACACTGTATGTTATAATCTTACCATTGACGAAACGATAAAGGAACGCCTTTAAACCAGCGTCTTCTACGCGGACCCACAGTGTCAAGCTTTGTCTGTTGTTAGGGAGCACTATTTGGCAGGAAGTCTCGATTAAGGGTCTTACTGAGCATGCGCGAAGTCGAAGTCTTTTCAGCGTCGCGACAGTTGTGGCAGCGGCAGCATCACAGGTGAGATGCTCAACTGTAAACATTTGTTATTTGAACAGTTGAAACTTCTCCCAAAATGTCAGCTTTCCGTCCTTGTGTCGCGTCAGAGACTTATGTCAGATTATAGCCGAGTTCATCCGGTTTATTTTGTTTGGAACGTCAACTCCAATCCTTAATATAACAGTCCTTAATATAACATAGCATACGTAAATTTACCGTAGCCCTATATATAGCAAACTTTGAAACAAATTAAATTATTAAATTATAATAGTATAACATAATAATACAATATTTAAATATAATTCATTATTATTAGTGTCGCTTACCAGTTTATAAATCTACATCAGAAGTATGTTTTTCTTGTGACGGCCGCCATCTTGGATCGTCGTGTTTTTAATATTGTGCAGTTAAAAAAACCTAAAACCTGGTGCGTTTAATCTTTTCTTAAGGCTTTCTGATTTTTCTGCATGTGTGGCTGAAACTTCACCACAAGAGGCCGCTAAGTCACACACTTTCAATTAACTACTGTATTTGTAAGTTCAAGTAGTTTGTATTTTTTAAAATGTACGTTTGTTAACGTTCCATGAAGTTAGTCTTAAGTCAGACGTAAGTCTATAAAAATATTTAATGTTTAATGTTCTATTGAAGAAAGGAGATATCTGTATCTAAAAAATATTTTTTAGATACAGATATTATAATAGAATGTGTGCAAATAAGAACTTGTGTATAAACTGTGTAATAGCGCCACTGAGCGGTTGGTATAATTAATAGATACTGTATGTGTTATTCTGTCCATCTGTTAAGAATAAAATTTTCGTCTTATTAATAACAAATTATTTAATAATTAATTAATTTTGACATTGCTAATGTTAATGTATCGGAATCAGTGACATTGAAGGAGAACATTCTGGAAGTGAAGTAAAGTAGCATACGTGTGTACATGGATTTAGAGATTTTATTTGCCATTTCTGACACGTTACACTTCAACAGTTCCGTCGATCATGTTAATGAAACTCTTCTTTACACAGTAGAAGTGGCATGAAAATAAATACACATTTTAAAAAATATATATATAAAACAGAAAAGTAACTCTTCCAAATATGGAAGAAAATGACCTAGAGCTGTGCGTTGCCTTGTTTCTTTGTTGTTGTTGTTGTTGTTTTTGGTAATAATTACTTGTGTTGTTGTTGTTTTTGGTAATAATTATTTTCAGTAGGTTTGAAAATGAAAAATAAATTGGTCTTTAACCACTTCTGTTCGGAAGAAGACTTTCTCTTTTAACAAATGCAAGAACACAATCTACAACCTGGATCCTTGAATTAAATAGATCAAAAGATAAATATAAATTTTAAAACTTTATTTTTTTTTTTTACATCTTATTGCACGTTCCAGAACAGTTTAATGGAGTAGGCCGGCGGCTGAGCGGTGTTGATGGAAGGCCAGCTCCTACTCCACACAGTGGTTCTTAGTCAAGTTAATCAAGCACTTCTTTATAGAACATTATTCTCTCCATTAAAGGGACCGGGAGGTTTAGGGTGAATCAGATATGTACATACAGTAAATATATGGATCAGGCCGACCTCGGACAGGCACAAGACATTCACAGTTCTGCTCTACGTGATGCATTCATTAAAAAAAAAAAAAATTGGTATCATGGAACAATGGTTTTGGTCCTAAAAAGTTGTCTAATGATATGGTCGGGAATTTTTGCACCACGTTTATAAATTAATATGTAACATAATAAATTGATGCACATAAGAACATGATAGAACCTTCTCCCAGGGACTAAACTAAACTGGTCTTAACGACATTGTTCAGTCCTTTTGTCCCACTTTTTTGGTCACGGTCCAACATTGGGATATAGACGATGTGCTTTGATCGACGTAGGTTTGTTATTTCTGCTCGAACATCCACCGATCATCCATCAAATCACATTCGTCTGTTTTTCAACGATTGGAAACACAGTAGTGAACAAGTGTGACCACTAGATGTCACTAGATGTTGATGATTATGAGAAGTTTTCAATCAAACTATTAAAATCTATTCACTAGGAAACATTTAATTCATGACGTATCATTTATGAGAAGACTACAAGTCAAACAGCGAATGTTTGTTAGTGAACTTCCAAAATGTTGCTCTAAAATATATATGTAACTCTTTCCTTCTGTACAGTACAGTAAAACTTTGATCATCAGTGTATGAGGACAAATGGTCCAGATGACGAAAATGACACGTTTAGGGAAAAAAAAAAAAAATTGGTCCAAGTACCATTTACTAGAGTACTGTATTGAAATGTAAAGTATTTGTAGGAACTGAAAACAAGCAGCTGTGAGTATTTGTAGGAACTGAAAACAAGCAGATCCACCAGGCCAGCGCCACCATGTGGGACCAAGGTTTGCTACATTTGATACAGAAATGGGCCAAACTGTTAGTAGTGGTTTCACTCAGCTCCCCCTGCAGTTTAAAAATGGGAACTGACGAGGAAACAATATGAAGAGAATTATTTAAAGTGTGTAATATTTGGAGGTGGAACCAGTGGTTGGGCCTCGTGGAGCCCACATGCTGACGCTGGCAGGAATGTGGCATCTGAAGATGCTGTTGACCGTTTGAGCAGATAGTTTGTACTCTTTCCTGGACCCTTGTTTCCTCGAGTGCAATTGAAGGTTTACATTAATAATAAAGACAGCCTTCTGAGACAGGAAATAAAGTTAACATGAAAAAAATGACAAAGAAAAAGTCCAAACAAATAGTTTTGATAAAGCGGTGTCCTCTTAATGAAAACTGCTGCAGCTGATGCCAAACAAATTGCCGTCTAAACATCAGGCACTTCTCTCTGCTGCAGCTGATGCCAAACAAATTGCTGTCTAAACATCAGGCACTTCTCCTCCTCCTCCTCCTCCTCCTCCTCCTAGTGTCGACGTCATCATGTCGTGACCCCGGAGCTCCTCCCAGCTTGGCACGCGTGTACTGCAGTTATGGAGTGATTTAGGCAAAGCTGTGCGGCCCAGTGACGACGACGATGATGATGATGGTGTTAAAATGAAGAATCCACAGTTTCAGTCAAACGTAGGTTTGTGTTTTTTTTTTGTTTTTAATCCATTAACTGATCCCTGACTGGTCCAAAAATAAAAAGTAAAAAGTCTTTGTCCCTCCTGAGATTCCTGTTCTGTTTCTGGTCCGTTCTCAGGAAAGGTCGGTGGAAACGACCATGTCTCCCATGAAGCTGTGCTCCGCAGGAGGTCCGTAAGAAAACCCCGGGAAGGCTCCGGCAGCTTCCCTGACGCTGCTGGTCACAGTCAGGGTGTCGGTGCACAGGGACGAGGACACGGGCAGGTGCGTGAACTCGGGATCAAAGTGTCGCAGGTCAGTGGGACCACTCTGAGAAAGATGAAGCAGGAGTGCTGTTTTAACATCTACATCTCTACACTATAAACATTCTGAGGTCATTTATGAAATTAAACACAGAAACAATCGATCAACGATGATCTATTTTCAATGTTACAATATTTTCCGAATACTTTTATTTGTAACAAAATAATGGATTTGCAAAGACAACAAAGGCAGCACAAACCACTTGATATACGTGATATATATATATAAACACTAACGTGTGAATCTCTGAGGCTGCTCCAGGTAATATTTTATTATTTTTGCCGCATTTTCTTTCCTTTCTCGTTTTTCCTCATCATGTCGTGACAGTCACTTATTTGAAGTTGACAGTAGATAAAATGAACGCGTTTTAAGGTTTGAATTTTAAACGTACCACAGAGGGAATGAACGGAGGCGTGATCTTCTTGGCCATCAGGTCGTCCCAGTTGATCGGAGAAAAGAAGGAGTGGAACTTGAGTTCAAGCTGCCGGGGGGGAAAAGACAATGGAGACGAGCGGTGAGGAAAAAAACCAAAACAAATCTAAGTCAAGTCGTGGAGTTCTGCAGGTTCAGTTCTAACAACTTACAAAGTCGTTCTTGACTCCCAGCCTCTTGGTGCGGTCCTTCTGCAGGAGACCCTCCAACAGTTCCCGGCCTGAGTTTGACACGTTGGGCTTCAGCATCGGAGCTTTGTGCAGGATGTTGTTGTACATCTCTGCTGTGTTACGACTGTAGAACGGAGGCTGTGAAGATTAAAAAAACCAAAAAAAACAGATTAGTCTTTGGCTTCAACCGAACACAAGTGTGTGAACAAAACCAAAACTTCACTCACAAGTCCGTAGAGCATCTCGTAGAGCACCGAGCCCAGGCACCACCAGTCCACGGTCCGGTCGTACGCCTGCTTCTGGAGAACTTCAGGAGCCAAGTACTGTGGGAGAGAGCGGTCCAGATCAGTGTCCAGAGTCTGCTTCGTTTGTTTTTACCTTCAAAACGGCTCCACGGAGGAGTCACCGTACCTCAGGTGTTCCACAGAAGGTGGTGGTGGTTCCGTTGGGATCCAGACCTTCTTTGCAGAGTCCAAAGTCGGTCAGGACAATGTGTCCCTGTGAGTCCAACAGGATGTTCTCAGGCTTCAGGTCCCTGCAGAGAGTCCAGTGAAACCCATTATTATTCCACAACGCCTGGGAGATCGTGTGACTTCGACGCAAATCACTCATTCGTCCACCAGGGGGTGCCGTGGGACCGCAGCTTACCTGTATACGATGTGCAGGGAGTGGAGGTAGCCGAGCGCGCTGGCGATTTCAGCAGCGTAAAAGCGGGCTCTGGGCTCCAGGAAGACCCTCTCCCTCTGGAGGTGGTAGAAGAGCTGCAGGAGGAGAAGAGGAGCGACATCATCAGTCAAACACGGCTCCTCCACACTGGGTCACGTGACCGTCCCGGTGTGGGACGTGGGTCGCTGCGACTCACCTCTCCACCGTTGACGTAGTCCAGCACGAAGTAGAGCTTGTCGGTGGTCTGGAAGGAGTAGTGCAGCCCCACCAGGAAGGGATGCTTGATGTTCTTCATCAGGACGCTGCGCTCCGCCATGATATGCTTTTGCTAAACCAGGAGGGAGAACGAGCGGAGGATCAACAGAGGTTCTCAACAGAACCCAGAGAGAGAGAGAGAGAGAGAGAGAGCGGTGCATCACAGGACCAGAACAGTCACTCACCTCCTTCTTCTTCAGGATGATTTTCTTCTGCAGCACTTTGACCGCGTAGTACTTTGTGGACTCTTTGTGTCGAGCCAGAAGAACCTGAAACACAGCAAACATTAGCCTGGTTGATCCCAACGAGTGACTCCAGGCGGACGTGTGGACAGTGAGGAGATGACATCAGGACGCTGAGCGGAGGGACACGGAGACACTCACCTTCCCAAAGCTGCCTTTACCGATGATTTTCAAGTAGTCAAAGAGACAGGGTTTGATCCTGGAGGAGGAGGAGAAAAAAAATGAAATGGAATTTAAATTAAATACATTTCAGAACCCGTGCTGTGAATTTCTTTTTACAAAAGTCAGTCAGACGACTCACTGAGTGTCCTCGACCAGGGAGCTCCGTGAACTCAGGCACATCTGGAACACAAGAGAAGGAGGAAATAGTAAGAACACTGAGTCTGTGAGGTAAGTTTGGAGTCGGTGTTTCAGTCTTTTTTTTTTTTTTACCGAAGTTGCAGGATGTGGGCCATTCTCTACTTCTTCATTCTGGTTCTCATCAATCTTCAGCAGACTGTTCACTTCAACACTGAAGAAGAAAAACAAAAACAAAGATCAACAACAGTCGGAAAAAAACGTCGGAAACTTCCAGACAGGTCAGACTTCAGTCAGCCGACCCAGAACCCTGCAGGAACTATTTTTAAATCCCCCCCCTCGGACCCTGATCAGAGGCTGGAATTATTCACAGGTCAAGAAGATCCAAAGGATGACGTGCACGGTGGTGTGCACGGTGAACTAATTAAATTAGAGCTCCGTCCTGGTGGACAGACAGGGATTTGCAGCAAAGGTGATTAAGCACTTGTTAACACACTGGTCACAACAGCAGCTATTCTTACTGTGGGACCAGGATTACAGGGCTCAGGTGGCTGATGGGATTGGAACATGAATGGACCGAACAACGTGGCGTTGAACCGGCGACCTGGAGCCGGGAGGTGGAGGTGTACGCTCAGTACAGTAAGGCAGAGTAAAGGCAGAACTCACTGTTGGCAGATGTGCGGCGTGGACACCAGCTTCTGGATGAAGTCGTTCAGACCCATTTTCCTCTCCTTGATGAAGGCTGAGGAGACAAAGACAAAGACAGAAGGTTGGCACCGGTGTCGGAGGACAGACAGGCAAGAACCAGGAAACAAGAGCAGGAAAAAAACAAAAAGTTGAATCCACGTTTCTCACGTTTTTATTATTATTTTTTTTTATGGTGACATCCAATATAAGGCTCTAGGCTTATGAGGTTATGCAACCTCCCACAGGTCACTCATTCAGATGATACCGGTGGTCACCAACAAAGCATCATCCAATCAGCAGTCATTATCAGACAAGACAAGATCAATGGTTTAAAGAGAATTAGAAAGAAAAAAAAATTTTTGTTTTTGACATTTGCACAGAACTCAGAGAAACAGGCACTAATTCTCCTCCCTGCAGTCATTTCTCCCGCAGTTTAACTTCACCTTTAAAACCAAACAGTGACGCTCGTCAGACGTCATGTGACAAATTCACATTTCCACTCATGATGAATTGTGTGTCTCACCCGCGAGGACGGCGACAATCCCCCGCATCTTGCAGTACGTCAGGTCACAGCCAGCCTCCGTCACAGCCATGGTTGTTGAACGATTATCCAAATGGACGATAAAAAAGTAACGAAAAGAAAATCTCCTCAGTTTATTTTTTCCTCGCCTACTCCGTGTCGTGCTCTTCCCGGACGCGCGCAGACGTTTGAGAACCGTGCGCTCTGATCCGCGCTCCGCTCCGCAGTGTCGTTCAACACTGGAGCGCACCAGAGTATTTATGCACCCCACGTGGTACAGTGACGTCGGAGGACGAGGACGCGCCCCCCTCTCCTCCCACTTTCCTCTTGTCACCGTAGCAACCACTTTAGCAGGCGTGACGTCACGGGATTCCGCCGCAGCTTTTTGTCGACGTTTTGCCTGCAGGATGCCGATGACGAAGAGGAGTTACTGCAGGGATGGAGGAGGAAGAGCTCCTTCTTCCTCCTCCTCATCTTTTGTGGACCCTTAAACCAGAGAGGATTTCATTTGTTTGGACTTGATATGTAGAGACGTCCATCATTTCTCTTTACTTTAATGACGTTCGTCCATCATTTCTCTTTACTTTAATGATGACTTTTTCACTGAAGACGTTCTGTGACTGAAGGACAACGGAACGTCCAATCAAACGTTCTGTACGGAATCCAGTTACAGCACGTTCCAGGCCCACGAGGAACGGACGACTGTCAACAAATAAAACCTTTGATTTTGTGGACAAATCTGGACAGTCTCTGCAGAGACACAAACCTCGGTCCTACAGCAGAAACCAGACCATTGTCTTCTGATGGGTTTTCTCGTAATCACACCAATCCAACATGCTAAGCGTTAGCTTCCAGTCTGGACGTCAGTAAGAACGCGTGAGAACAAGAACGTCCTGTATCCTCATGGAACACCACGCAGCGTTGGGATTCCTTTCCGGGACCAGGAGCATCAAAGACAAACACAAACACACACAGAGAGAACAGAGAACAGAGCGCTAACATTCCTATGAGGAGCGTGACGACAGGTCACGACTGGAACATCGTAGACACGAATGAGTAAATGAATTATGGGCCGGGCCGCGGTCCATTTGGTGTCCACACACAGCGGGTTCACGCTGGTTCACACTGGTTCACGTTGGTTCACGTTGATTCACTGTGAGGTCGTTCTGGCTCACGTGAAGTAAACAGAGCTGCTGTCGCTGCGATCAGTTACAGCTGTAGTCGTGTTCCTGTGAAAGTGAATTACCAGTGGGGACTATTGATAGTACGAAAATAACCAGAGTCCTGGGCAACATGTCCATGTGGCCCACCTACTGGGCTCAACCGGTATAATGTGGGCATGACGTTCATCTGAGAAAGTCAGTAACGACGTTAGACATGGCACGTACTGTAGCATGGGCTAATGTTAGCATGGGCTAATGTTAGCATGGGCTAATGTTAGCATGGTGTAATGAAGGTGGTGGAGGTCCTCGGTTCTCGGGTTCACGCTGGTTCACACTGGTTCACGTTGGTTCACGTTGATTCACTGTGAGGTCGTTCTGGCTCACGTGAAGTAAACAGAGCTGCTGTCGCTGCGATCAGTTACAGCTGTAGTCGTGTTCCTGTGAAAGTGAATTACCAGTGGGGACTATTGATAGTACGAAAATAACCATAGTCCTGGGCAACATGTCCATGTGGCCCACCTACTGGGCTCAACCGGTATAATGTGGGCATGACGTTCATCTGAGAAAGTCAGTAATGACGTTGGACATGGCATGTACTGTAGCATGGGCTAATGTTAGCATGGGCTAATGTTAGCATGGGCTAATTTTAGCATGGGCTAATGTTAGCATGGGCTAATGTTAGCATGGGCTAAT